AGACTTTCATGGAAGGAACGGAGAAATAAATCCTAACCTTTCCCACGTGAAACACCTGTAGTTATAAGGTGCCTAGTGCTTAGAAACTACAAAATCACATAGGGATAATTATATGCATGTCTAATAGGATGCCATACTAGCAAAAGTATATAGATATTTTCGCCATTGATGCAGCCTAGTTGATGATGGACTCATGTAATGATGAATTGATATAGCTTAGTAGAGTTCTAATTTTTTGTTTTTTTATTTTTTTGTATTTTTTTTTAATACAGAATACTACTGTGTTTCCAAGTTTTTAGGAGTTCTAAAACAGTCTTAGGAATATGATTTGATGTTTTATTTGTTAACATGAGAGAAATATGAGTTCTAGACAATTTTTGCATGCTTCTAGGGTTTTATGAAGTCTGTAATTAAGCCTTGTTGGTGTAAAATGAAATTAGCCTTAGAAGATGAGAAGTATGAAGAATTTTTGAAACAACTACAGCTCTCTTCCCTATTGTCCTCTATGCTACCGTCTACACTCAATTTGTCACACTATGCACCATCATCAGCCATAAACTAGGTCAAGGTCAACTTTATTACCTCAAGGAAAGAAGGGAAACAAGATTGCAATAAGTGCAATAATCATGCAAGCTGAACGAGGAAAATCAAATTGATTTCCAAAGGAGGAGACACTTCTTTATACTGGGGAATTTCTATCTATGGAACAAAGTTTAAAGTGGCAACTGATACCAAAATGATTCATCATAAACCAAAGACGGGCAATCAAAAACCATAACGGGCAGACGACAATCATGATACATTGATATATAAAATGCCATCAATACATCACAGAAAGACACTTCTTTGCTAAAGAGCTTTTCACCCAGTGGAGTCTTTTGTTCTATGGTTTTGGACTCATAACATGGATTTATCAAGATACAGAGACACCAAGATGGCCAATGGAACATGAGCAGAGTGAAATGACACCCTATAGTTTTCATTTTCCTTCTCACAATCGAATTCCAATTTACTTTTACTCCAAATAGAAAAGCAAAATCATCAACTTCTGAAAAAATTTGTGAGTTTATACTAAAGAGGAAGGCATGTGCGGCTATTTAAATGCCATATAAGGATTGCATCACCAAGCATATAAAGACAGATGTATAAGGCAAACCAAATTCACAAAACTGAGTTTTAAAAAGAATACTAGTTGAATTAAAGCTAATGCTAACAATCGCAACAAAATATGTCAACTTGATTAGATGTGAACTCAAACCTGCTGCAACTACCATGCCTACCCAACCCAACATGAACAATAATTATTTTCAATGAAAAGTGCAACCATTTAACTAGCAAAGAAGTGGGCATACAATATTAACTTTAAAATTCCTGTCAAACTCTAATTGAGGACAAACTTATTATCTCATCAACAAGAAGAGCATACTATTGATAGCTGCAAAGAGCAGATCTTCATTCTGCACTCTAAGGGATTCTCGTACATGCTCACGAAGAACCCGTTTTGCCACGCTGTTTTCAGCTACTTCCATTAATTCTTTACTATTCCCAAGGTGCACAACATAGGTCTCAGGCATTTTAATCCTGCACAATGTAAAAGTGAAACAATGTAAAGATGATACAAGAAGCTGATTAAGCAGTAAATTGCAACATAACTACAAGTAAATTCCCACATCTCAATAGAAACAAGTGCTAGACTATATCTCCAGTGTGATCCCTTAGTCGCCATTGAATTGAGAATGTTTTTACCTTCCAACAAGCAAACTTGGCAATATTTTAAAAAGGAGTAACACATCATTATTTTTAGTGCAAATTCTCTATCAAGTAGCCAACAATTTCGTCATTCAAAAATGATTAAGAATGAAACAAGGGGAATGGTTTGAGTTGTAACTTTTAAGATTGCATTTTAAGGTTAAAAAACTCAGCAAGGCCAAGTTTGACTGAAATCCAATTTAAAAGCAGCTACATAAAAAAAAGTAAAAATCTTTAAAGGTTGCTACATGATGCGAGAAAAGAGACAAGGAGTCATGATATGCAACTCTTATTTGACTCGTGCTTTAAGAAAACTAAACAACATAACAAAGCTTTAGAACTCAATACAGCAACAAAGGTAAAATCTTTTGAAGTGATCCTGTATAGCTGCTATCTGGATGCACATGGACTCAAATGCAACAGCTACATGAGACACCCCTTCAAGTGGACACCGTTGCTTTATTGTGCTACTTGATGGAACAGATCTAATTTTGAAATAAAAACATTAGCAACTCAATAATAGCATATACATAGAAACCATAAAAGATAATTCAACAAAGTAATGCTTCAAAGATAAATTTTATTTACCTAAATGACGCCATTTGTTTTTTGCTGATTTCTTCCTTTACTGCATCAGTGGGCACTCTTCTTGGACCTTTTCACCTTCTTATATTGTTTTCCTTCAACAATTGTCATTAGCCATTCTGGACTTCGAGTTACTAACATAAGATATCCCATAACCATTCCAAATAATAGCCACATCCATAACCCATAACAACAACTTTCCAGTTAAATCTGCCCTCCCAATCTGAATTTTCATCATGTTGCAGTGTTGGTGGAGCTGGCAATGGTTGTTGTTCCTCACATTTCTTTGATAAGGGGAATCCACACAAGGCCAAGTTCCTATTGTATGAATCATTCCCAATTGTATTAAATTGGCTCCCTTGAGGAATTTGTCCCACTAGTTGGTTATCCGAAAGGTTTAGTACAGCAAGAAACTTCAAACTTGTCAATTGCTAAGGAATCTCACCAACAAGCTCGTTTGACGAAAGGTCCAATGATTCAAGATTCGTTAAATTTCCAAGTAAAATTGGGATGTGACCTTTGAGGTTGTTATGGATAAGTTAAAACCCCGAAGCGAATTAAGCCTCCCAATAGATTTCGGAATGTCTCCTTGGAATTTGTTTCTTGAAAAATCAATGATTGAGAAGACCGTTAAGATTCTTGAATATTCAATTTCATCTCCTTTCATCATTACCACCACAGAATCTTGATAATAGTATTCACCCATGTATTTCAATTTCATTTCATGTTCATCCGCATTCATCATAGCTTCAAATTGTTTGATATAGTTTGTTGGCAAAAGCCCAGTGAACTCATTGTAAGATATGTCGATAATTCTCAACTTGGGGAAAGGATATTTGCCTTTGGTCTTGAAGGAACCTATGGGACCATCAAACATATTAAATCTCAAGACAAGAACCTGCAGGTTTTGAAGAGTTCCCAACTAGTGGGGGAATGTATCATTTATCTTGTTTTTTCCAAGATCTAGAACTTCCAAGTGTCTACAATTGAGCAACGATCGCGGAACTTGTCCTTCAATTTGGTTGCCATTCAAGTTAAAATTCCTTAGCACGTTGCCTTTGGTAAATGTTGCAGTAAACGTCCCACGAAAGCTATTGATCCCTAAATTCAGCACCGAGAGGCTATTGCTTAAGTTTTCCAAACATTGTGGAATCAACCAACTCAAATTGTTATTAGACAAATCCAGAACTCCAAGTGAACTCAGATTGCAAATCAATGTAGCCATTTCTCCGATCAATTTATTGTTTGAGATAGAGAAAACATATGTGGTGTTAGGTGGAACAGGGAGTGGTCCTTGGAGTAAGTTGGAGTGCAGGTCAATATATTGTAGATTCTTCCATGGAAGACGCTTTAAACTTGTAAGGAAATTATGAGAAATATTTAAATTTTGCCTGCCCAAGGCTGGCTCAATCTCAATAAATTGAACTTGGGTTATGCTCAAATTACCAACAAATTTGAGCCGAATTATTTTTCTCATCCACCCTTCAAGGACGACAATTATTTTTTCATCCACCGTTCAAACAAGCTAGACCAACATTTAAATATTGATAGCACTAAAGTATCACCAAGTAATTATTTAGTATTTAAAAAACAAAGTGGAGACAACAAAACCTATGCTCATTTCCACCATTTCAACTTCAAAAAATTATTTTTTGTCATAAAGTATTTAATGAAGATTCCTAGAACAAAGCCACATGAAAAAGGTGACAAAATCCAAATGCTAACCATAATGCGACCCCCACAAGTGACAAAAGGCATTAATGCATGTCATTCCAGTCATCATCCACTAGAACACAAACTGGGATCCCAAAATTTTGTTTAAAATTTTTTTGCCACAGTTATAAAATTTTAACAGCCTATCACCCCTTTAAATCCAAGTTTTCACATGCTACAAAGTCTATAACCTTTCTTTCACCTTTTTAAAGCCAAATCATAGAAGGTAACTATATAACCTTACCTTAGGCATGTAAATTCTATGGTCTTGTGTGTGACGTTTACTTTTTCATTGGTCCCTAATCCACTCTGCTACCCAAGCTCACTAATTATTGCCACCAGGGTTTTGGGTTGTAGGAAACCAAAACTACTCTTAAATGTGGAGATTAATATCTTCATTGGATGTGTGAGCTTGTGGCCAGCGAATAAAACTACACAAATCCTTTAATCTCCTTCATGGAGTAACTAATATTTTTAATGATACATACCTACCAAACTCAAACATGAATTTGCAACACCAAATTTTTCACTTATCAAACAACCTGGCATAAACTAAACAACTTGAATTTTTTTAAAATCTAATATGTTCCTATTCATGACAACACTTGCACTAGTAAAATTTCACAAAAAAATAAATATAAGCAACCTTTTCAATCAATACTCTCCATATCACCATTTTCATACTACAATTAATCACAAAATTCCCACTTCTATAGAACAAGTGTTAGTAAATATCTCCAGTTTGATCCCTCAATCGCCATTGAAGATGAAGAAAAATATAAAAAAAAAATAGAATAGACTACAATAGCAATGAGTAAAAGCACTGCTCAAAGATTAACATGCAACATTATTTTCAATGTGAATTCTCTATCTAGTAGCCAGCATTTATATTACTCAAAATGATTAAGAATGTAACAAGGGAAATGGTTTGAGTTGTAACTTGTAAGATTGCATTAAAGTTAAAAACTTAGCAAGGCCCAGTCTTCTGTGACTGAAATTCAATTTAAAAGAAACTTACATACAAAAGTGAAAATCTCCAAAAGGTTGCTAAATGATGCGGAAAAAAAAAACAAGAAAGAGTCGTGACATGAAACTCTTATTTAACTCAGTGCTTTAAGAAAACTAAACAACTTAACAAAGCTTTAGAATTCAATGCAGCAGCAAGGGTAAAGCTTTTGAAGTGGTCTTGTATGGTTGTTATCCAGATGCTCACCCACTCAAATGCAGTAGCTAGGTGAAACACCCCTTCAAGTGGATACCATTGCTTTATTGTGCTACTTAATGGAACATACCTAGTATTGAAATAAGAACATCAATAACTCAAATATAGCATATAAGTAGAAACCATAAAAGATAATTCAACAAAGTAATGCTTCAAAGATAAATTCCAATTACCAGATAACGCCATTTGTCTTTGTTGATTTCTGCATTCACTGCATCAGTGGGCACCCTTCTTAGACCTTTTCACCTTCTTATGATGTTTTCCTTCAACAATTTTCATAGGCCATTCTGGTCTTCGAGTTACAAACATAAGATATCCCATAACCATTCCAAATAAAAATCCACATCCATACCCCAACACTGCAACTTGCCAATTAAATCCGCTTGACTTGTCTGAATTCTCATCTTGTTGGAGTGTTGGTGGAGGTGGCAATAGCTGTAGTTCCTTACATTTCTTTGATAAAGGGAATCCACATAAGGCCAAGTTCCCACTGTATGAATCATTTCCAAATGTATTAAACTGGCTCCCTTGAGGAATTGGTCCTGCTAGTTGGTTGTTTTGAAAGGTTTAGTACCTCAAGAAACATCAAACTTTTCAATTGCTGAGGAATCTCCCCAACAAACTTGTTTGAGGAAAGATCCAACAATTCAAGGTTTTTCAAATTTCCAAGTGAAGTTGGAATGTGGCCTTTGAGGTTGTTATGAGATAAGTTAAGACCCCGAAGTGAATTAAGCCTCCCAATGGATTTCAGAATCTCTCCTTGGAATTTATTTCTTGAAAAATCAATGATTGAAAAGACTGTTAAGATTCTTGAATATTCAATCTCATTTCCTTTCATCACCACCACCACAGAATCTTGATAATATGTGTCGCCCATGTATTTAAATTTCACATGTTCATCAACATTCATCATAGCTCCAAATTGTTTGATATAATTTGTTGGCAAAAGGCCAGTGAACTCATTGCAAGATATGTCAATAATTCTCAACTTAGGAAAAGGATGTTTGCCTTTGGTCTTGGAGGTGCCTATCTGACCATGAAACCTATTAAACCTCAAGACAAGAACCTGCAATTCTGTAAGAGTTTCCAACCAGTGGGGGAATGTATCATTTATCTTGTTTTTTCCAAGATCTAGAACTTCCAAGTATTCACAATTGAGCAAAGATCGCGGAACTTGTCCTTCAATTTGGTTGCCATTCAAGTTAAGATTCCTTAGCCAATTGCCTTTGGTAAATGTTGAAGTAAAGGTGCCAGAAAAGCTATTGATCCCTAAATTCAGCACCGAGAGACTCAAGTTTCCCAAACATTGTGGAATCAAGCCACTCAAACTGTTATTAGACAAATCCAGAACTTCAAGCCACCTCAGATTGCAAATCAATGTAGGGATTTCTCCAGTCACTTTATTGTTTGAGATAGAGAAAACAAATGTGAAGTTAGATGGGATAGGGAGTGGTCCTTGGAGTAAGTTAGAGTGCAGGTCAATAAACCGTAGATTCTTCCATGGAAGATGCTCTAAACTTGTAAGGAAATTATGAGAAATATTTAAATTTTGCAATGAATCTCTCCCCACATTGAATAACCATTTTGGAACTTCACCATGAATTTTGTTGTTTGAAAGGTCTAGAGAACGCAATCCGACTTGTTCTCTCAAGAAGTTTGGGAATTCGCTCAAGTTGCAAGAAGCTAATCCTATAGTGTCAAAGTTGGTCAAGGCAGAGTTGACACTGTTGTTGATGCTCAATGAGAGACCATTATATGAGAGATCAAGATAGATCAGATTTTTAAGCTTTAGAAGCTTATCTAGATCCATTACACCGCTTAAGTTATTTGATGAAAGCAGCAAGTCTGTTAGGTTCTGGAGTTCATAAACTAATCCTGGAATTGGTCCCTATAGCTTATTGTTATTCAATTCTATCTCAACCAGTGAAGGCAGAGCAAACAACGAAGATGGTATTATCCCATTGAGTGAGTTATAACTCAAATAGAGAGAAGTTAGTTGGCTCATGTTGCCAAGGGAATCCGGTATTTGACTGTTCAAATTGTTTCCGGAAAGACCCAAGTAAGTAAGTTGGCTCATGTTGCCAAGGGAATCCGGTATTTAACCGTTCAAATTGTTTGCGGAAAGACCCAAGTTAGTAAGTTGGCTCATGTTGCCAAGGGAATCCGGTATTTGTCCGTTCAAATTGTTTCCGGAAAGACCCAAGTAAGTAAGCTTTGCAAGGTTTGAAATTGATGAGGGGATTTGACCGTCGAAACTGTTCTGCCCGAAGTCTAGAATGATGATTTGTGTAAGGTTCCAAAGAGAAGCTGGAATGGAACCCGAAAAGTTGCAACCAACAAGGCCCAAACCATTCAAGGTTTTAAGATTGCTGATTGATTCAGGCAATCGGCCAGAAAAACTTATGAAGGAGAGATCAAGAAACTGAAGGGAACTAATCACATTGAAGTTTGGAAGTTTACCTGTGAGTTCCGAATTATGCCATAAATCGAGCTCTCATAGGTTTGGAAAGTGAAAAATGTTTTCTGAGAATTTCCCACGCAGTTGACAATCTTCAAGACTAAGAGATGTCAAAGAAGATAGATTTAGCAAAGCATGAGGTAAAGGTGAAGAGATATTCAACGAATCAAGGTGTAGTTCTGTTAATTGGGTTAGGTTTTGAAGGAGCATATAGAAAGTGTGTTGTTCAAGTCTCACCGGGGAAGAAAAAAAATAATTCAAATAAGAGAGATCTAGGGAAATCAATTTGGATAGATAGCAGATTTTTGAAGGAATTCGGCTAGTAAAATTAGAGGAAGAGAGGTTGAGATGGGTCAAACTTGGAAAGGAGCCAAAATTAGGTGAAATTGTAGAGAAATTGAAGTCATTGAAGGCAAGATTGAGGGTTTGGAGGTGACGAAGGTGGAAGAGGGAGCTATTTGGTTGGATGGTGTCCTGAAGGTGGCTGCAACTGAGGTCAAGTCCAATCACATGACCATTCGACCAGTCGCACGTGACCCCCTCCCACGAGCAACGATCACTGCTTTCATTCCAGAACACCATTTTAGAATGAGAATTAGATCCACAACGCAGAGAACAGGCATTAACAGTTATGGTAAATGTTGTTGTAAATTGGAGAAGTGAAAATCTCTGGTCCTCAAGGCAGGTATGGCATGCAGAAGAAGAAGACAAGAGAAATAGCAGAAGAAATTGATGAAGAAGAAACATAAGCCAACTCATTTTGTTTTCTTATAGGTAGGAGGATTCAGAGAGAGAGAGAGAGAGAGATATGAAAAGCAGAGGAGAGTAAGAAGGATAGTAGTTTGATGATGGAGAAGGAAAATGCATTACTCATTCTTATACACACCAAGTCTTTCTATGGTGGTGGAGCAACCCAGCCCAACCCGTCAAGCACGTCAACTTTCTATGGTGGTGGAGCAACCCAACCCAGCCCGTCAAGCACGGCAACTATGTAATTTTATCCATCAGCCATCATGATTTCCAGGTTGCCGACAGTGATTTTTGTCTTTAATTCTAATGAAAAATTATGTTGATAATTCCTACATTTGGTCCATTATAGCATTTTAATTTGAATAATTTCAATTAATTTTATTTTGAATTCTTAATTTTAAATTTTATATTAATTTAGTCCAATTGATAACACTGATTATGGTTGTTGAAAGAAAAAAAAAAATTACCGAGTTAGTTGAGAATTGAATCAAATAAGTTTACAATTTTTTAGTTATAAAAGATGAAACATGTTCATGTGTACAATTTTTAAAAAAAAAAAAAAAAAAATTATAAACAATTAAACTAAATTGAGATAAAATCATAAATTAATGTTAAAATTGAGTCAATTAAAATTATAAAAAAAAATAACACAAGACTAAAAATATAAAGAGTGCGAATATAAATTTCCTTAAATCAATCAAAAGTTGGTAATGCCTTGACTATTTATAAAGTAAGTAATAAAACATTTTGGGACTGGTTCGCTTCTCTAGCCCAGCCCGTCAAGCACGGCAACTATGTAATTTTATCTACCAGCCATCTTGACTTCCAGGTTGGCAATAGTGATTTTTGTCTTTAATTCTAATAAAAAATTATGTTGATAATTCCTACATTTGGTCCATTATGTCATTTTAATTTGAATAATTTCAATTAATTCTATTTTGAATTCTTAATTTTAAATTTTATATTAATTTAGTCCAATTAATAACACTGATCTTTTTGAGTTAGATGAGAATTGAATTGAATAAGTTTACAATTTTTTAGCTATATGTTCATGTGTAAATTTTTCACAAAAAAAAAAAAAATATGTTCATGTGTACATTTTTCACAAAAAAAAAAAAAAACACAACTAAAAGTTATAATCAATTAAACTAAATTGAAATAAAATCATAAATTAATGTTAAAATTGAGTCAATTAAAATTATAAAAGCGAAAATAATACAAGAGTAAAAATATAAAGAGTGCGAATATAAATTTCCTTAAATCAATCAAAAGTTGGTAATGCCTTGACTATTTATAAAACAAGTAATAAAACATTTTGGGACTGGTTTGCTTCTCTAGCCCAACCTGTCAAGCATGGCATCGATGCAATTTTAGAATCAAGATTCTCCCCTTGCACTTCCTCTTTGCAGGGCCTTTGAGCCCACTTTTAGGCCCAATTTTGATAATCCAAACCGTTCATATTTTAAGATTTAGTCAGTATATCATACCTGTAAAAAAATCAAGTTGATCGGATATTAGAAAGCATGTGTTCGGAAAACTGTTTATTAAATTCTTTAAAAAAATAGTTTTTAGTTCGATTTTTCCGAACACATGCTTTCTGATATCCGATCAACTTGAAGTTTTACAGGTATGATATACTGAACAAATCTTAAAATATGAACGGTTCGGATTATCAAAATTGGGCCTAAAAGTGGGCCCGAGGCCCTACAAGGAGGAAGTGCAAGGACGGAGTGCAAGGGGAGGATCTTGACTCGTAATTTTATCCACCAGCCATCATGACTTCCAGGTTGGCAACAGTGATTTTTGTCTTTAATTCTAATAAAAAAATTATGTTGATAATTCCTACATTTGGTCCATTATGTCATTTTAATTTGAATATTTTCAATTAATTCTATTTTTAATTTTTAACTTTATATTAATTTAGTTCAATTAATAACACTAATTATGGTTGTTGAAAGAAAAAATATTACTGAGTTAGTTGAGAATTGAATCGAATAAGTTTACAATTTTTTAGCTATAAAAGATGAAACATGTTCATGCGTACATTTTTCACAAAAAAAAAAAAAAAAAAAAACACTAAAGGTTATAAACAATTAAACTTAATTGAAATAAAATCATAAATTGATGTTAAAATTGAGTCAATTAAAATTATAAAAACAAAAATAACACAAGAGTAAAAATATAAAGAGTGCAAATATAAATTTCCTTAAATCAATCAAAAGTTGGTAATGCCTTGACTATTTATAAAGTAAGTAATAAAATATTTTGGGACTGGTTTGCTTCTCTAGCCCAGCCCATCAAGCACGGCAACTGTGTAGTTTTATCCACCAGCCATCTTGACTTCCAGGTTGGCAACAATGATTTTGTCTTTAATTCTAATAAAAAATTATGTTGATAATTCCTACATTTGACCCATTATGTCATTTTAATTTGAATAATTTCAATTAATTCTATTTTGAATTCTTAATTTTAAATTTTATATTAATTTTGTCCAATTAATAACACTGATCTTTTTGAGTTAGTTGAGAATTGAATTGAATAAGTTTACAATTTTTTAGCTATATGTTCATGTGTACATTTTTCACAAAAAAAAAAAAAAAAAAAAAAAAAAAAAAAAAAAAAAAAAAAAAAAAACTAAATTGAGATAAAATCATAAATTAATGTTAAAATTGAGTCAATTAAAATTATAAAAACAAAAATAACACAAGAGTAAAAATATAAAGAGAGCGAATATAAATTTCCTTAAATCAATCAAAAGTTGGTAATGCCTTGACTATTTATAAAACAAGTAATAAAACATTTTGGAACTGGTTTGCTTTTAATTGAACAAAAGCATAACGTAAGAATCATTATTATTTTTTTGTTGTCTCATAGTTTAAAATATATATGAATTTTTTAGGGTATTATTTTCACAATATCTTTAATGGAATATTTAAAAAAATAGACTTTTTAAATTGTTTACTAAATATATTTTTCATAGTACAAGGCAACAGAAAATGATGAATCCTATGATATAGTTCTTTTCATCAAATTGTTGAGTATGATTTTGTTTGATGTAGTTTATTCAATTTTTGCAATTAAGAAATATATATATTTTTTAAGTAAATTAAAATTGTTTATGCAATTGTTGTTCATATTTTAATAAGTATGGTATAATTGGAATAAAAGATATTATTAAGGAAAAAGTAAACTTTTTCAGAATAAATTAAAATAAATAATACTTAACTGTCTACATTGAAAATGACTCATTAATATAAAATAAGATTTATTGATAATTTTTTTTAATTTATTTTTTAACAGATTGCGTTGCTCTAGTTCTCTTTGATAATTGGTAGAGATGGGAGATTTCTAAGGAATGTGATTGGAAATAAGCAAAAATTCTGGAGGACTAACATATATTTTATGTGGTTTGTCCTTCTAAGTGTACAAGGCCATATTATTAATTTTTCATAAATTTTCTCTTACATTTGAAGCAAACTAATTATGTGTCTCATTGTTATAAGATCAGCACACAATCAAAAATTATTTAGTAAGTTTAGAATATAGCGTGTCCATGTGCCGTCCAATAATATTCGATAATTTCTCCACTATTTCCTTATTTTGAAGTCATGTATTCATTTAGCCCATGCTATTAGCTGTGCACATGGCCAATGTGAAATTCCCACAAAACAAAATAATTCCTCTCACATAACCACCTAGTAGAATGGATCCACTAGATAACTTGGAAATCAGGAAATACCTTGATGTTAATATAGGTTGATACATGCGAAACAGAATAATTCCTCCCACATAACCACCTGGATTATGTATAGTATTTTTTTTTAATTTTATCAAATCGTTCTGTTTGATATAGTTTTAATAATATTTACAACTAAAGAATATATAATTAGAGTAAATTAAAATTAATTATACAATTGCTATTCATATTTATATAAGAATGGTAAATTTGTAATGAAATATATTATTAAGGAGACGTGAAATTGTTTGAGAATAAATTAGGAAAAATAAGACTTAATTGTTCACATTAAAATTTGGTAGTACTCACTAATAATATTGAAATAGTGGTTTGAATCATACAATTCGAAATATGATTCTTATAATTCTATATGAGTTTTACATAGGGTAATACAAATTGCAGCTAAGAATAAGAAATTTGTTGGAATCGTGCAATTCAATAATGGAATCGGAATGAATTCAATTCGAATTATTTTCATTTTTGACTTCCTTTGTATTTTGTGCCTAATTGACCATAATTATAGTAATGTCTTATATTCTCATGTCATGTTAGTAATTTTTGTTTGATTATTGACAACGAAATAAAATTGATTAAAATTAAATAATTTAAATATAAAATTAATATTATTAAGAAAATCGAAATTAAATTGAATTTTAAGTAATAGCGCGAAAGACAAAATAATATTTTTTTATTCCATAAAATAAATGAGCATTTTGTATGTGTGTCGTAGTTATCTTGTCCAACTTTTAATTATGAAAAGTTTTTACTTTTGCTATTGTAGTTTTAAATTGAATAATTTAATGCCTACACTTTAAATTTCGTTTCTTAATTTAGTTTTTCCATCTAAAATTTTGTTAATTTTTTTTATGTGTACATCTTAGTAAGATGATAAATGTTTTAAAATCGTTAACTTTAACTTTTAACTTAAATGAAAAAATTGAATTAAACTTAAATTTAAAATGTAATGATCAAATTATTGAGTTTAATAAGTCTCTGGGTTAATTTTTGATATAATCCTATGTCTTTGGTTGTAGCAGAGGGGTTAAAGCTGTGATCAGCCCATGGAGGAATGGAATGATCAAAGTCATCCCCGCCGATTGGGTTAAAAGTCAGTTTTTTAATTTTTTAACTTTTTTGAGTCACATTAAATTTTTATTTTTTAACACATTTTTTTTTAAAAAAATAAAAAAATTAACTTTTAACCAACTTGTAAAATAGAATATGAGCAACCCACTTTCTATTTGCTTCTTCCCCCTTTCCCCCTCCATCGGGATAGATTCTTACAAACAATAATAAATAATTTGGGGGAATTAACAAATCAGTTGAAAGTTG